AGATGTCGAAAATGCGCGCAGTAGTTCTCCATTTTCATACGAGTCCTGGACAGAAAAACTTCGACAAATGTTGACAGAATCCTAAAAGGAATATAGAGGAGGATCTACTCTTTCAGAAAACACATAACTTCATTAGGTTGGATCCTTGATCATCTTTACAACGGTTGATAAATCCGGGGTGTCAAAAATCGGCGGAAACTTTTCGGACAACCCAATATTTTGTAAACTCTGCAACCGTTTTCTTACTTTGGAACCCCATTTAGTAAACTTTCCAACCAATTCGATGAATGGCAAACTCGATTTCACAAATTCCCTAACCTCAATCTCCTGCGAGCCGTAAAAGTGAGGCTATTACGGCTCGCAGGAGATTGAGGTTAGGGAATTTAGGAAAAAAATAGGGGAAAAAAATGAAGAACATTTTCATCTGCTGAGCCATTAGCAGACAACGAGTGATTCCCTATTCGCTGTCGTTACGGACTGAGGTGAAAAATCCCGTACTTCTACAGCCAGAGTCAATTATTTTTCTTGTTCTTTATCATTTTTCATTCACTGTAGAGCGGGGTACTATGATCTCGTCTGTTCCGCTGCTAGTTTCCTTATTCATGTTTCCTGGATTTTGCATCGCTACGCACACATACAGTAGCGCTCAAAAGTCTTCGGTGAAATGGTTCTTCAGCCGNGGTACTATGATCTCGTCTGTTCCGCTGCTAGTTTCCTTATTCATGTTTCCTGGATTTTGCATCGCTACGCACACATACAGTAGCGCTCAAAAGTCTTCGGTGAAATGGTTCTTCAGCCGTACTATTCAGTCGTAACTTCTTTCCTACTGGATCTAATCATGCGAAATTTCTGTATTTGGAGCGTGGATGTATTGTGAACATTTACCACTACTAACCTCCAGTCTGATCATGTTCCAGATATTCCATAGAGCTTGAACTCAAAATCGACTGAAAATACAGATGTTGGTCCTCCTAGAATCTCTTTCCTTTTCATCATGTCAAATGTGTACGAGCGGCAACGACGATCACAATAGATGAGAAAAACGCACATGAGGTGCGAATAAGTGCAGACGCCAACAATTTTAGTTTTAGCAAAATGTGCTACTGCAACAAACACCTTACTCTATCTGTGGATATTGCAGCTTTACAGCCAAATAGTGTTTAGTAAGGTGAAATATGCTCTAGTTAAACATATCCAAATTTCGCGTCATTTGGTCTACTAAGAAAAAAGTTATGAACAAAAAAGCGTCAAAGCATTTCACCGAATACTTTTGAGCGCTAGTGTCTGCTATGTTCGTCTGCCCCTCTGTCCCACCAACCCATCTCGAGCTTGAGGTATGCAGCGCAGCCCTCAAATCCGCGAAGCATGGAATGAATGACTCGCTGAAGGTACCAGGTGCCCATTCGATACCGGAAGGCATTGACCCGTCGTTTGGTTCAGTAGAAAACCGCACAGATGTATAAAAATCACGTGAGTTGTTTATTATGACGACGAGTGCTGCGCAGGCAACCGGCTGATAAAAGTATTTCTACTCCAGGAAGACAATCAATTGCTCCAACTAGTGCAGCCGTAAGCATATGACAAGGGAGCTGCGTCGCTTTGTCCGAGTCCTATCTTGAGAACGTAAAGCGTACTTGGCTTTCTTGGTGACTACCTTTTCTCGACGACCGGCAGCAAAATCAGGAAGGATAGTCTTGCCATCAGTGCACTTCTGCAGTAGTTCAACCATTTCTGGTATTTTCCTAATCGATGGCAGTGTCCTCCTCCTTCCGTAAAAGAGGCCAGCCTTCTTTTTCTGATCTTAAGAATTCAGTTAAACTTAGCAGCGAGACTCAATACGTTTAAACCGTGCGCCAGTCCTAACGTATCGCCCGGCTAACGTAGTGTTCTTCTCCTTCTTGTGTTAAAATTGACCCGCCGCCTGCACTCTCCCAAATTCGATAAGCTTAATAGCTTCATATTTCAACTTGACTGCGTGTTTTTATTGAAGTACGCTCACACCACGCTCGCCCCCTACATCCCCCCGAAACATCGCTGGATCAATTTCATTTACATTCTACTATCTAGCATCGGCGTCTTTTATCTGATCTTGATCTGCAGGAGTCATCTTGATCTTGATCTGCACGAGTTCCAACTCTGAAAGCGTCAGTTATATGGGCAATTTTCGTGCTCGTCTAAGCTCCTGTGAGCTCCAAGTCAAACTCCCATTAGCATCCCCATCCTGCCGACTGCACTCCTGCCAAATTTGAATGCTCTAGGTCCATTTGGACAGGAGTCACGATTTTCCGCTCAAACAGTTATTTCGCACAAATCCCCTTGTAGGGGGACTTAGGCTCTGACACCATCCCGCCACCTATCCTATCAAGTTTGGATGCACTGCGTCCACAGGGACAGGAGTTATAGATTTCCGAACAGACACACACATACACAACGCAAACACACAGCAGACACACTTAGTCGATTATATAAGTAGGATTGCCTCGGCAGAAGGTGTATCACTTGTTCGCATCTTCATGTTCTCCAAAATCCGCGCACAAACTCAAAGACGTCATTTCACTCGACGACAAGCACAGCTGTCCCAGAAATTTTTACCGAAGTTGTTCAGCATTTCGCTGACAGAGGAATTTTCGGATACATACATATTTGCCGGATCCATTTCGTGATGTAGCTATAATACTACTCCCCAACTCACTGGTTGCAACACACTTCTACTTTTCACAGAAAAGTACAGAGAACTGGACTGCGTTGACACAGGGGGTCTGCGTCTGCGGTGTGTGATTGCATTCAAACACACACCCTCATACAACCCAAGACGCGACTGTACCCACCTTGCGCTGAAGTACTCAAGATTACTGATCACTAGGTTGTGAGGAAAGCTCTTGCCGTTTTCGCGTACGCGCCTATAAATTTACACTTTGTCGGCTGTCAAATCAGATCAATCGCATGCGCCTTAGGTGAGTCATTAGATGCTCCTCCTGTTAGAGTGCTTTCATCAGAATTCTGTAACGTTTTTGGAATCTTTAATAGATTCTTTTTGTAGAGTGGATAAGACTGCTTTTCGAAAGATTCACTCCACTAGTCCAAGCTTCGTCGAACTGCAAAGGAGGCAGCCACAGACATTAACGTTGCATCAAGTCAAAGAGCGATTTGGTCGACAATTGTCGGTTGATCACGAAGAGCTAAGCTAGCACTGCTAACAGCAGTTGAAGAAGATTGCGTCAATTTTTGAGAGAGATTGCCAAGAAGGTGTGCGTTACAAATACAGACGTCGATGACCACTTCATGCAGCTTGAATGGTGAAGAAACTTGACATGTTGGTGCCACACCGATTTGTGCATAAAGTGCGCGACCGCATCTGTCATGAATCATCTTCCAGGTGTTCAACAAGCTGATGATCGAAGCTCCCCTCATCCACCCTCCTCACCAGACCTGTGACCAACTAACTTCCATTTATTTAAACATCTCGAGAAAGAAACGAGCTTTTGAAAATCAACATGGAAGCTGCCTTTCTCAGTTTTTGAAGTATAGATCATCCGATTTAACAGGAAGGGAATAATCAAACTCACATCATGTTGGAAAAATGACTAAAATCGAACGGGGTTTATTATGAACAAAAATTTTCACTATGAGTTGATTTATTGAAAATGAGCTATCAAAACGGCGACAGCTTTACTCACAACTTAATAAAGTTAGATTCATGTCATCTCTTTTATCTATTAGGAGGTTCCAAAAAAAAATCGATTTTCAGGAGGGATTTTTCGAGCTCTTGTTCTTAAAGCTTCTCAGAAGTTCAAATGTTTTTTATCCGTTCAGTATCACAGGTATTAACTTACATTTTTCCCGAAAAAAATAAACATGTTTCATTCCTATTCAATCTCTGTATCAGTTTGAACATGTAGTGTCAGATGAAGGATATTCGCATTTCAAACTTTTTCCTAGATTGGCTAAAAGGCTGCTGGTGTTTCCCATGATATAGGGTTGACTGCTTTCTTAGTCCGCCGGCCGGCCGGCCGGCGTGCCAGGCGAGGTAGTGCTAGGGGGAGGTGGGAGGCAGACGGTCGGTCGAAGGGCTGAAAACAAAGAAGAACAAGATCAAAAACCAAACAATCAGGGCTTGTACAATTGGTTTTTAATCTTGTCTCTCTTTGTTTACAGCCCTCCGAAGGGGCTGACCGGCTGTCTGCCTCCCTCCTCCCCCCTAGCACTGCCTCGCCTGGCACGCCGGCCGGCCGACCGGCGAACTATGAAAGCAGCCATTTATTACAAAGTAAATGTGAACACTGGTCCACAACTCTCCGTTCCAACAATCTATCTCTGCAAGGTTGGCTGAACAGTAGACAAGGATGGCCGTCTTTTGACGGCAATGACCGAAGCCGATCTTCATATAGCTCATGTGGGAACTTACTGAAAAGACCAACGCACCCTCTGACAGATTCTTTCTGGCACGAGATGGGGGCAGGACTTAGGACTTAGGCGGACTAAGTCCAACATACGCGCTACTTGATCGACATGTTGCCACTCATTTGTTGTATTAGAGTCTCATTGAAGCACCGAGTGACACCATCGCCTTACCGCACAATTCATACTAGTTCGAATGTGGACGCGATTTGAACGAGGACTGAGTTGTGTTGAGCATCCTAAAAGGATGGAATCGACCGCAACTCATCTCTTCATCCAATCCTAATCAGGTGAGGATGGAGAAAGTAACATAAGATAGAAGGGTAAAAGTCAAAAACACCTCTTTCAATTCCGAAAAGTAAATTGAGTCGAGTGTTAGGAAAACCTGTCTTATCACTGAGCTAAATATGACTTGGAAGTATGTTAAATTAATACCGGTAGTCAATTAATATAATTGGTCGTCAAACAAGGGTGTAATAAGGTTCCTGATTCTGAGAAGCAGATTCCCTTCTCTAAAGTTTTACACGGATGCAAAACGTACAATTATCCGAGCAGAAGACGTACCTCGTGACGTTCCTTCTTGGTTGTGATCAAGGTCGAATTCGATATGATAGTTACTGGTTTTCGTTCAAGATGGATTGCCTTGAGACCACTCACAATCGGCAGATATCCTCTACTCATAAGATGAAAGCGGTCATGCAACGTTACCTTGAATAGATATCCTAAAATTGATTGCAAAAAATGACAAGGTGAATCATCAGATGTTTAAGGACAAAAGAAGGATCGAAGAAAGCTAATCTTCGAATGTGTGTTCTCTATGAACTTTTCAGACGAGCCATCTTCAATAGGATTGGAAGAGCACTGGATGAATGACAGCGACGCGAACAGATAGAGTTCTGAAGCAAGTGATCACAGGGTCTCCGGGTGCCAAGAGAGAGAATGGAGATAATCCCAAAGAACAAAAGATCCTGGGTAACCAAAGGCTTGCTATACCTATTAGAAAGTTTTCTGAATTCTACGACAGTTCTACGACCAGAGTCCCATCATTCTACAATGAGCACAAGGCAGGAGGATTTATCTGAACTTTCATCAACATCATCTTCATACTGCAGGCTGCTATTATCGACCCATGAGATGGGTCTGACATGGCCATACTATTCAGTCCATCTTGATCAGCAGCTTTTTCGAGGTGTATGTCGAATGCTAAGGGAGAAATGTTGAGGTGACGTCGAAAGTTTTCATCTGATAAAGTTCACCCTTGCAATTATATCCTCTCGACTGTCATTATCTTACCTTCCAGTTAAACATTGGCATAGTGCGGTATACCTGAGAATTGATGCTTCTCTAGAAGTTTATCTACTTGCGCCAACATATGTAGAGTGCGTTTCAACAATATACGTCTACCCCTCATTCAACCAAAACTTTTCCTAAAAGGGTGACCCAGCTTAAAAGCATGCATCAGGGAATTAGCTGCATTACAATACAACCGGAGGTAGGTTTCAAGATCATCAAGTTTACATTTCTTCAAAATTAATGGTATACGTCCACTTTATATAACAGTTTATTTATAAAAAATCAACAGTGTACTTCATGAAAATCAATGATCAGCTGGTGCATTCTGTATGACTAAGAGCTCCATGAGTCGATGCGGCATCCTCATTGTTAATTTTATGAGGACTGAAGGGTCGATGTTTCTCCACTCCTTCAAAACAGCACTTCGCAGCTCGTCGATGGTGTTAAACTGCGTGCTATTAGCGTACTACCTATGCACAATTATTCCCCAGAGGTTCTCCATTGGGTTCAGATCAGGACTGCACGCCGGCCACTGCATAACATCAACTTTCTGTTGCTGCAACCATGTGGGTGCTGGGTCAACTTGCTAGCATGGACACTTGCTGTCCTGCTAGAAGACCGACCTTTGTCGTCAGCGGCGCCTCAGAATCGGCAATAAGTTGGATCCCATAACCTGTTGGTACTATTGCGAGGCCATTCGACAGGATGCAGATGCGAGCTCCGGCTTGCTATCCCAGCAGTAGGCTCCCCAAACCATCAGCGAATTGCCACTAGAGTTGCACCTGCTAAACTGCACTGGGTCCATCCTCAGATCACGCCAACAACATCTTGCTCTATCGGGTCCGTCCAGGTTGAACTTACCGTTGGAGAAAATTACCTAAAGACCTTGCCTTCCTTCACAGTGCACGAGCTACGCCTAGCTTCACAACTGCACCTGTTCTCAATCGGTGGTTGCAAAATCGAGATGAGCCATGTTGTGTGAGTTGGTTAGGCGTGGTGCCTTCCTCATAACTTCTCTCACAATGTTGCTGCTGCATTTGATAGCTCTCCGAACAGTCGTTTTCGACACAGAGAATTCAATTCTGTATGAATCTGGTTGGCGCTGCTGGTGCTATTCGGAGCTCTCCTCCAAATTTCACTTCGCTGGACAACTTGCATTGACGTATCCGGGCACCCTTGTTCGCGTAGGCTTCATGATCTCTGAAGAAGGAGCAAACCACGCAGTGAGTCCTTTCGATTAGCTTGGTAATGCGTTGATTGCTGAGTCCGGCCTCGTCGAGAGCTCGAATCTGACATTGCATGCGGCATTGCAAGAAGACAATACTTCGGAATGCCTGCGGCGTTCCTCGCACACAACTAGGTACCACACAACTAGGTATATATTGTAGTATACGGAGTTCATACCCATTATTCTCTTCTCGAGCGGAAGTGCTGTGGTGGCAATGGCTGCTCTACAACACATGCGTAGTTCGGATATCAGAGGATATGGATAGATATCTCTTAAGCCAACCGAGCCTTTCATCCTTCCGAAATCAAACAAGTAATACCAGATCCGTCTGGAAGTATAAAAACACTGATTTGGGCAACGGATGGCCAACGCAAGTCAGTGTATTGCCTGAATATCATTGCCGAATCTCTCCCCACCACTATACTACTCGTGTACTGGACTCATACGGATTGGAATCCCGGACTGATATCCATCCAGGCCAACCAAACTTTCCATCCCTCCGGCGCCAATTAATTGGTACCAGACTTTTCTGGGGGAGAACAGCTCTGACTTGTACACCGGCTGGTCACTGGAATTAAAGGCCACGTACGCATTCTATACACCAATTCAATTCTAGTACAATTCTGAATCTAGGTTTCATTCGGGGGACGCATCACAAAATGGATCTGATTTCTGTAAAGACTTAACTCTTTAGCCTTGACTCGTATTAGCTTTCCACCACACATTATCAATGACCGACTATCTATATGCTACGCGCTATACTCTTTATTCGCTACAATGCTTCCATCGCAAACCAGTCGTCGTCGTTCTTCCGTCGATTTCGTCAACTTACTACGGTCATCTTCTTCCGTTCTTCTTATGTGCTCATGTCATATCTATGCACCAAAAGAGAATGTCTCAATCATTTGCTTCTCGTCAGGCTCGAAGTGCACCATCCCATGAGCGTTGGTCAGACGTATCAAACCTTCCATCTTGGTTGAGCGCGCCTCATGTGTCTGCTGGTCCTCAGAAATCCACATCTTTTGCTCCGTCCGGGGCTCCACCTGCGATATGCACCTTCTTGTACGGAGTCACGTCAACATTCGATACGGTGTGAGGGATGCAAGCGTGGTTTCAAATACGCATGTCAAGGAATACGAAAAAATTCTATTGAAGAGAGCAAGTTCATCAGGTTTTATGACTTTGTATAGCTCCTCTAGTTAATCGAGATCGTCCTCATGAATGACTATGATCTATTCGTCAACAAATTTATCTTCAGCCGCAATTCCGTACACTGACTTCTTTATAAAACGTAAAAATTCCAATTCTCTGAATTGGTTGCAGTGCCTAAATTCTGCCCAAATGCAAGTAGACTTACCGTCAAGACGCAGCAACTAACAGTGTTTAATGCGCGCATGAACCGAAAGCTCACCGAAGAGATTATCCTGTGTCGCAATAAATTTTGTAAGAACTCAGCTTTTTCAGCACAATGTACACTGTAATCGCCAGCTTTCGTCATGAATGGGATCTGCTGAAGCTCAAGTTTCACATCGCTGCACATTTCTGAAAAAGTTACAGTCAATCCCTATACCAAGAATATCTGCAACGAGTGCAGTTAAAGAAACGACAGAAGTCAATGTGCTAAGCCATACAATGAACACGTATGTACAACAATGCTGATGCAGGTGTAGTAGCCCCACTAACACGAAAAGTGGGAAGAGAAAATCACGTTGGTATGATACACAAACAGGGTGTCCGCTTTCCTTCTTTATGGATGAGAACATTTAACAATCCCGAGAAAAGCAACTCATGTTTCCAGTCAAAGTTGTAGGATCTTCCTGAAGCACAAACAGAGCAGTGCATCGCATAATCGATGGCATTTGCGCATGCGTAATAGACTATTATGTTGCTTTCAACGTTCATGGATGGTCAGTTGAAAGTTAGATCCTTTCCTCCGATTAATATCAGTCGATCAACTACTACTACCGTCCAGCGAAATGTCTAGAAAACCGATTTCTAGAGAGGTACTTACTAATGCTGTCGAATGATATTAATAGCACTCATTATTAAGTGCAGAAGTTAGTCTGATGAACGACATAGCTGCTGAGCTGAGCAGAAGAGAACGCGCGGCACGGAAAGCACTTCAGAACATCAAGGGTGCAGCAGAAGATTACAAAAGACATTGACATAGGGTTGCGCTGCTACTCAAACCAAGGAATCGAAGATCACAACTAGGAGAAAGAAAACTTTACCAGGAGAGGTTTTCAACTTGTCGTATCTTAGCTAACTTTGAATAGAGACCTAGGTATTCGATGGGGCTGGAAACTTATCAACAAATATGGAAATTGAAACGGCAAAATGAGTGTGTCAAAAAAAGTGTGAGCTTTCAAAGTTTGCATGCCTAAAGCATAGAAGTTAGGGCCTGTTGATAAGCGCAGTTGCTCGCAGTTGCCGCAAGGATCACCGTGGCATAGTGGCAGTGCTCTCCCTCCCGAGGTCAGCGAAGAGGGTTTGATCCCCGTTGTCGATTTCGCTTTTGCAAAACGTGCTTTCATCCAAAGAAAAGCTTCTGAACCGTATTTTACTAATACAAGTCAGCGCTTTGTTGCGATCACCTATCTATCACCTATCACCGCACTTATTTCGAATTTCTTGAGGTAGAGGGAGAATTCCAAATCACTTAAAACAGATATGCGTGAAAAACTATGTTGATGAAACAATCCAAGAGATGTGTGAAGCAGATATGTTGTTCACAAAATGCGAACCTCATATGCGCATGTCGTTTTGACAAAAGTAAATAAAACACACAATCGATTCGAGACCAAAGAATACATGTTTTCTCTACCCATTTTTTGGGTTAGCTCAACGATGTTGAGTTTTCTCGCGTGCCAAGACTATTTCACTTTGGGTGTGGATAGGTGTGTTTCACAAAACAAAAATGCGTGGCGAATTTTTACACAAGTACGGTGATAGGTGATAGATAGGTGATCGCAAATGATAGTCAAAACAAAGCGCTAACTTAAATTAGTGAGAAAAAACGGTTAAGAAGCTTTTATTCGGACGAAAGCGCGTTTTGCAAAAGCGAAAACAAAAACGGGGAACAAGTCCTCAGCGCTCACCTGAGAGGGAGAGCACTGCCACTACGCCTCGGTGACCCTTGTGGTCATTGCGGGCAACTGCGCTTATCAACTGGCACCATCTCCCATGCTCTAAAAATGCAAACTTCGAACGCTCACAACTTTTTGGTACTCATTTTGCAGTTTCAATTTCAATATTTGTTAATAACTTTCCTAGCCCTATCGATATACCTAGTCTCAACTCATAGTTCCATGGGAAGTTGTAACCCTTCACTGGTTAGTGATTGTGCTGAACGTTTGGTTGTGGATGGTAACTAATTGTATTTTTCGGGAAGTCAAAGGAGCATCTGGACTAGACTCGTGATTGCTAAGAAGTTATTGAATCGGTAATAAAGAGATACCTCCCCTCGAGTCCCTAGAACCCGAGGTTTTGAGGTAGTAGTTCAATCAAGAGCAATGAAAGGTGTTCCGTCGCCCACATATGGTATTGGCTTTTACCACTTCTTTTATCACTTTTGATGTCACTTCTAGTAACTGATCTACTGCGATTGTCGCTCACAATAGCGGCAGAAAGGAGATCTGAAGGGTTATCCGTTATCTTTTCAACTTGAAAACTCCACGTCCTTCGAACAAGCAGTAGCAAGGGGCAGATGATGGAGCACTTAATTAACGAAGCGCCAGTCGAGCGACCTCACTGCCCAGACCTCAGCGCTACGTGTGTGTGTAGTGAAATCTCCATAGGTCTTGAAAAGCCGAGTCAGGTACCTCAACAGATGAGGTGCCTGACCCGGCTTTTCAACACCTATGGGGATATCTCTCATTTGGATTCGGAGCAAGATGAGAGCTGCTCCCACGCTTTTTTCAATGATCAGCAGAACACACTGTAGTAACATTTGGCTGAGCGACAACAATGAATTCGCGCTCAGATGGAGCGCAATACCCCAATCCTTTTCCAACTGACACAAGAGATTGACGATTGCGGATCGGAAGCTTATCATTTTCGCCCTACGACGCTTATATGATCACCACTCGGGCCGCTCGGCTAACGCCGGGCTTCCCTCCTTCTTATGGGTTCACCCGGCTACGACGGGCGCTCCTCTTTCTGTGAGAAATTTGCTATGCCTAAATAACACTTCGGACTCTCATTTTTCTTTGAAAGCTCTACACACTCAACATCAGCTCCGAATTGGGAGCGTTTTTTTCTTTGAGCCATCTTCGTTGTGTCCGAATAGAACATCGTATAAGACCACAAAGGCGATTGTTCAGAGAAAAGAGACTTCATTGCGGCTGAGGCTACTACTATGTTAGCTACCATCAATGTTCCCAACCAACTCCTTGTGCCTTCAAGTTTCAATGGTCTGGGTCCGACGAACAGTATTTATTCACGCCTCACCCTTTCGGGCGGAGTTTAGTCCTGCAACCTATCATCAGTGCACCTATCCTGCCTCCTGTATTCCTACCAAGTCGCTCTAGTTCCATTTTGACATTTCTCTGCAACCCCGCCCCCTGAAGGCGGAGTCCGGCCCTGACACCTACGCAAAGATTTACATCCTGCCCCCTGTACTGCTACCAAATTTGAGCACTCTAGGTCCACGGGACAGGAGTTATGGTTTTCCGGTCGAACTCCATCCACTGTGGGCGGGTGCTGGTCCTGCCCCGTCCATAAGTGATTACAGCTGACGCCGGGCTCTCCTTCTTGGGACAAAGGGACTTTGCCTGAAAAACATCGAATTGATAAAATTCTTCCCCCTTTTTTCTAGGCTACTTCGCTGTTTCGCCGTGCGAGAATATAGACTATCAAATGCCTTCGAAGATGTACCTCCTTTTCTCTACGGATACAACATTAAATGTGAATCCAACATTATTACCGTCGGATAAGTTTTGCTAAGAATGATATCAAAGCAAAGAGTAACCGTGATCTTTCACTTAACCGCAAACTCTGCTGGGTAGCGGTCGTGACCTAATAGCAAGAAGTGAACCAAATTCATCTCCTTATAAACACGCAACTTAACCTTCTTGTCGAATGAAACATATCAAAGAGTCAAAACTAGATCGTAAATAACAAAGGCGCTAGGAGGTAATTGGTGAATAGATCTTCTTCTCTAAGGCTTCTTCTATTGTCAGTGTTCCCATCCTACCTCTCTTATTGATTGCTCTCCAAGTCCACGGGGTCAGGAGTTATGGATTTCCACTCATTTATTCCGCGGGAACCCCTTCCCTTGGGGACGGAGTCCGGCCCTACTACTCACCATAAGTGTTCCCATCCTGCCGCCTGTACTCTTGCCAAGTTTGAATGCCCTAGGGTCAAGTTGACTATTTCGGCGCAAAACCCCGCCCCCTGTGCACGGAGTTCAGTCCTGCCACCAACCATAAGTCTTCTCCTCTTGCCCCCGTACTCCTATCAAGTTTGAACGCTCTAGGTCTACGGGAACAGGACTTATGAATTTGCTGCCCAAAATTCTAACGTGCACCCCCTGCCCCCTGTGAACGGAGTCCGGTCCTGCCACCAACCGTAAGTGTTCTCCTCCTGCCTCCCGTACTCCTACCGAGTTTGAATGCTCTAGGTCCACGGGGACAGGAGTTATGAATTTCAGGACAGACACACACACACGCACAAACACACCGACACACCAACAGACACACTTAGCGGATCATATAAAGTAGGATCAGTCGGACTATGCACGCAACGCGTGCATAAGCGCACGACCGCTCATCTGCGATGTTGTCATTCAGCGGAATATCTTTCCTCTTTTCTCGCGTTCTAGAACTTTTTGAACGAATTTATGAATTTTTGGTCTTAGCCTCGTCCACCTTGTCAAACTCGCCCATTCCGAGTATTTGGCCTTATTCCTTCCACCACCTCCAACCTTACTTTTGCTGCATTCTAGCATGTTACTGAAAGAAGTTATGAACCTTCGTTCATAGCCCCACCCACTTTAGCGACTACAGAGGGTTACTCGATGTGAACGACTACAACTCGTTCACATCGAGCAACCCTCTGTCTGTCCTCTCCAGCTGATAGAAGCCGATCAACGGATACCGCCCGAAAACGCCAAATGGATTATGTATGTAGGCAGAACACAAGCAGGTCCGCAATTCGGCGTCTAGTAGTAGCGGCGTCTTTGTTCGCGCTACTATCAGCTGGAGAGAACAGACAAAGGGTTGCCCTGCATACATACACATATACATACATACACATACACCCAAACAAAAACACCAACAGGTACACTAAGTGGGTAATATAAGTGGGATTATCTAGCGGTTGAGATGCTATAGAGACGTATAAACAAGGAGAAACGACAAAAAGTAGTAAAAAGATGGATAAAAGAACGACGACTCATTAGTTGCCAGAATCAAACAGTATCATTGCATCGTAGAAGGAACATTTAAACCGGGGCAGTTGTACGTCTATTGCATTTCATTTTTCCGTAGTTTTTTGGGGTATGGGTACACTCCCCAGAACTGGATGAGCGCGGCAAATCGC